GGCGTGGTCTCGGCGGGCGGCGGGACGCGCGGGGGGGGCGAGGGGGGGGGGGGTTGCAGGCAGATGTGCAGAGACCCAGACGGGCTCAGCTGGCTGCTCCTTTGGAGCATTTTTTTCCCAATATTGCTTGAGTCACATTGTCACAATTGCTCAAACATCTGGCCTTTAGCGTTTCTGTCCAGTCGTTTCCCATTTAAAATGTCACAGTTGCAGCACCACCCACTTTCATGATTGTCTCATGGGTCTGGTAAAATTTGTGGTGCCTGCTGAAGCCCCCCGCTCCCGGAAGCCTGTGAGGAGCTGAGACCCTGGACTTGTGTTTTCTAGACAAAGGGGCTACGTCTAGACTGGCATGTTTTTCCGCAAATGCTTTTCACGGAAAAGTTTTCCGTTAAAAGGATTTGTGGAAAAGAGCATCTAGATTGGCACGGACGCTTTTCCGCAAAAGCTTTTGCGGAAAAGCGTCCGTGCCAATCTAGATGCTCTTTTCCACAAATCCTTTTAACGGAAAACTTTTCCGTGAAAAGCATTTGTGGAAAATCATGCCAGTCTAGACGTAGCTAAGGGGTTTAATCATCCAGATGATCAAATGCACTTCTCCCTCCACCTAACCCTGCCAAACCTCAAGGCCAACACCACAGTCCCGGTGTCTGAGGGAGATGTGCATGTTAGAGCCTCTGCCCCCGGAGTTGTAGCTTTCTGTGCCCAGGGAGCCAGACACTGGAAGGGAAATGAGGAATGACTGCGCTATGAAAGTCAAAGAGGTTGTTGGACACCATAAAGTAGAACAGATTTTAGCTCATTTTTTAATAAAGTCAAAGAGGTTGTTGGACACCATACAGTAGAATAGATTTTTGCCCATTTTTTAATGCAGGGCACCATGGCTCAGTTGGTTAAAGCACCTGCCTAGTAAACAGGAGATCCTGGGGTCAACTCCCAGTGGTGCCTTGTTGTAGCTTTGGCTCACATTTTCCTATGCCCTTTTGGGAAACAGAAGAGCCCGCCACTGGCCATCCATGGAACTGCTAGTTCGGGAAAAGGCTGTTTGGGGAGGTGTGGTGGAAAGAATGAAACCACAAGCCTGGAGCTGGTGAAGAGGCTGCTGTAACTGGCATTGGCAAGGCAGGGGCTCTGACCGCAATTGCTGGGACAGGAGAGCCAGTGCCAGAAGGGGTTGGAGGGGGCTGTGAGGAAGCCCAAGATCAGGGCCACCCCCAGGGCACTAGGACAGCCAGCTCTTCAGTAAGTAAGCAGCAGAACACACTGGCCCGTTGCCCCACAGCTGAGCTCCCCCAGCTGCTTTCCCAGGGCTGTGACCGACCAGCCTGCACTGCTGCCAGCCTGGGCTCAGCTCTGCCAGCGACCTGCCCAGCTGCCTCCCTGCCAGGGGCTGCAGACGTGTCTGCTGGGGGAGCTGTTTGCCAAGCCAATGTGCAGTGTGTGCCTTTGGAAGAGAGAATTTCTGTCCCTTCCATTCTTTTCTTATGTAGCCCTAGTGGCCTAATGGATAAGGCTTTGGCCTCCTAAACCAGGGATTGTGGGTTCAAGTCCCACCTGGGGTAACAAAGCTTATGGTCTTCTTTCAGTCAAAAATATACTGTGGGTGCATCTAGACTGGCAAGATTTGGTGCAAAAGTGGCTGCTTTTGCGCAAAAACTTGCCAGCTGTCTACACTGGCCGCTTGAATTTGCGCAAGAATACTGACTTGGTAACGTACAAAATCAGTGCTTCTTGCACAAATACTTTGATGCTTCCACTCAGGGATAAGCCCTCTTGCGCAAGAATACTTGCGCAAGAGGGCCAGCATAGACAGGCACCTTAATTTTTTGCGCAAGAAAGCTTGATGGCTAAAATGGCCATCGGAGCTTTCTTGCGCAAAAGCACGTCTATACTGGGCACGGATGCTTTTGCGCAAAAGCATCCGTACCAATCTAGATGCTCTTTTGCAGAAATACTTTTAACGGAAAAACTTTTCCATTAAAAGCATTTCTGCAAAATCATGCCAGTCTAGACACAGCCCTAGGCTTTCTTTTTCTCATGGGAGATGTTTGAACACCTGGCAAGGATCTGGAAGAAATGCCATGTTCCACAGGGCAGCAGTTGTCTCTAGACCAGTGTTTCCCTATTTTATTTGACCATGGAACCCTTTTAAACTCAAAAGACTTCTGCAGAACTCCTAAAAACAGTCTAATACATGGAACTGAAAAAGTAGATCACAAATAAGTAAGGATGATAATAATAAACAAATGCTAAACAAGGTCATGAGTTCAACATTTAGTTTAATTGCACATATTTTTAAAAAAATCACATTTAATGTGTACAAAAAATAAAGCTCAAAAACTAATATGCATTATATTGGCAGTTTTCAATGTGAAGAGTGTTTTTTTCTTCTTTTCTTGCCAAATTCTTTTTATACAGGAAGCCCCCGGGTTACGTACAAGATAGGGACTGTAGGTTTGTTCTTAAGCTGAATGTGTATGTAAGTCAGAACTGGTACATATTGTAGGGGAAACTCTAGCCAAACATTTCTCCAGAGCTCAGTTTTATTCTCCCACACCTCACTTCCCTCAGTCCTTTATTCTCAAGCTGAGGTGTCTCAAGCTGGGGGGGGCCCAGCAGACCAGGGAGACGCGGAGTGGCTTTTCTCGCCACGGAGGATGCGGGCGGCGGGACTGCGGCGCGTCTCAGCGGTCTGCTGGGGGGGGGCGCAGCTAGTGCGGGGTTGCCTCACCCCGTTTGTAAGTAGGGATCCGATGTAAGTCGGATCCATGTAACCCGGGGACTGCCTGTATTTGGTTTACTGTTGGAAAGTTGGATTTGCATACCTGGTGCGGCATTCAGTCGATTTCTGTATTTTGTTTTTGTTGCTGCATAATTTGCGAACCCAGTGCTGGCGAAGGGTAACAACTGATGAATTGCACGTCTTGAGAAAGCTGAATATTTTTTACATAAGCCACCCCAAAATGTAATCAGAGAACCTTCTTTAAATTTTTGTATTAATTGGCCGTCTGAAGCAATTTCAATCAGGTTTTCATAATCTTGCCTAGAAAAACCAACTGGCTTTTCTGTTATACTTAATGGATTACGAATAAAGCCTTTTCCGAAAACTCCCTTATCCCTTATTTTAAGAGGGATAAGGGATCTTTCAGAACAGGCTTTATTTTCCGAAAGATCCAAAGCTCCGTGCCGAAAAAAAGCGGCACCCATTTTTATGCTAATGAAGCGGGGGAGATTTAAATCCCCGCTTCATTAGCAATTGCGATACGTCTAATTTGCATCCCTTTTACGAAAAAGGGACGCAGTCTAGATGTAGCCACAGTGTATTGCCTTCTCCCCTGAAAAAGATCCCGTGTGCTTCTTATAAGCATAACACATTTGCCTCCTGCTGCCCTTCCTGTGCCCCACTCAGTCACTGCGCTTCCTGAGAGGCGGGTGCAGAGCCCAGCTCCAGACTGTCTGAGTCACCGAGTCTGTAGCTACCTGTGACATAGGGACAGTGGGGGCAGGGGAGGGACACAAGGGAAAAGGGACAGTGGGGCCCAGAGAGGTTCCCCAGCTGCTTGGGGACACTCCCTGCTGCTCAGTGCCCCCCTTTTGGGCAGAGTCCTTTGGCACTGCCTGGGGATGCTGCCGTGTTAGATTGTGTCCAGCCCTGGGACATAGCCCCTTGAACGGCCTCTCCCGGCCGTGCCACCCATCCTAGGCACAAGGTCAATTCAGCCACATCCCCTGGCAGGAGGGAGACACACACAGAAAAACCCTGGGGCTCCTCCTGTCATGAGGTCGTGGGGGGGGGACACCAACCATGCCCTGCCCTTGCTTTCTCTGCCCAGCCTGAGCAGTGCCCATAGAAACGGGATGCCCTCAGGAGAGACCCAGGAGTGGAGGCTGCATGGATTGAATCCAGCCCCCAAACTGGGTCAGGGCTGACATCTACCCAGGGACCTCAGTCCCATCCCACCCCTGGACTCAGGGCCATCCTTAGACATACGCAGAGTACGCAGTCGCATAGGGCACCACACTTTCTGGGGCATCACTCTGCCGGCCCAGCACAGAGGGGAAGCATACGTGTGCACTCTGCACTGGAGCCAGTAGGGGCGCTGCCGGCTCTTACGGCCCCACCAGAAGACCCCACCGGGCCGAGGGACTCCGGCGAGGAGGCCAGCAAGCTGAAGCCGTGCCTCGGCAAGAGATGTGCCAAGCGGGGCGCGGGGGAACAGAGCCTCACTAGGGCGGGTCCGGCCGTGTTGTGATGGGCCGGGGCTGCGAGTGCCGAGTGGCCCAGCTCCTGCTCCAGAACCGGCGTGTATTCTGGGGCCCGGGCTACGGGGACTTCTGGGGCTCAATCGCAGCACACTCCAGCCCTGCAAATGGAAAGGCAGAAGGTAGGAAAGGCAGAAGGTCAAGTCAAAATTATACCTTATGATTATATAATCAATAACTTTTTAATTACAAAAAACAGTTAAAGGACAAAATATAATAGCATGGGTGTAAAACTACATTTTTTCAGGTGCATAACTCAGAAAGCTTACTTCTGTCATTCCCTTCTCTGTCCAAAACAATCAGTTATACAGATGCTAAAAAGCCATCAAAAGCATTTTTCAGTACATAAATATAGGGATTACAATTTTATCTTTTTTATCTTAAATATAATTCTTGTGTAGTAGGTCAGGGCTTTAATGATTTTTGTAAATAACTGAAATTTAAAAAGTCTATTTAAAGAAAATTAATAGAATTGTGCTACTAATTCAAAGTAACCTATGGCAACCCATGTGTTTCTTACCAAAGCAAATAATTTGTTTAACACAGTATCCTGCCTTTGTCACTGACCATAATCAGATGAAAAAATAAACATTATATGCTGTGTTTGGTTTAATTGAGCACACTTCCTAGCGAAACAATAGCTAAGGATTTTATCATTACTTACGGCGATTATAAGTTTCTCTTAAATATAAGGGTTGTTAGCCCTTATAACAATTTCACCTAAATTTTTGGATCATGTATATAATGTTCATGCACACTTCTAATTTCAAAATTCTGTTTTTTCTTAATGATGGTCCTGCTACCTGATAATTTATTAGGTTTAGGTGTGATTTTTTTTTTTTTACTGTTAAAAGTAAACTAACTTACTTGAATTTTGCATTATTTACATTTTCAGATGGAAAATGCTGATGTCCTAGACTACAGTTTACTTAAGAAACAGGATCTCTTTCCAGGCACTGTGTACAGGTTCAGGGTTGCTGCAGTTAATGGCTGTGGTGCAGGCCCTTTCAGTAAAGTCAGTGAATTTAAAACCTGCATTCCTGGTTTTCCTGGGGCACCTTCAACTGTCAGAATCACCAAGGTGAGAGAGATGGTTAGGATTTCAGTTTGTATAGAGTTGTTGTCTGAAGTTTTACTCCCATATCTAATCTGGAAATTTCTGGGATCCTTTTTTTTTTTTTAAATTAAGTAAAAACTGCCCTAGAAAATGGTGTCAAACATTGATGGATAAATTGACACTTTTTTTGTGAACTTCTAGTAAAGAACCACATTCAGACTCTCAACAGAGAGAGAGAGAGAGAGAGATGTTGATTAGTGCACTATATAAATCAGAATAAGAAACTTTGGAATTTTCAGTACATCTCCTGCCTTTGTTTACTGCTCTTTGGGTCTAGTAATTTTGAATGAAATGCACTATTTTTAGCCTGAGCTGGAACACTTCCCCCAGCTGCTCCGCCCCCCGAGTTAATGTCACACAAATTGGCTACATCTACATTTGCCTTTCCCTTCCCCC